AATAATTGTATATCTATTAAGTTTGGGTATGTTGAGTTTTGCTGCACCGGCAACTAACTGAAATCATTTAAACTGGCACACTAATAATAAAACTAAAAAGGGTGAAAGCCCATTACAAAATTAAAGCTTAAACTACTTAATATAAAAAGAACATTCAAAATATTGAAATCACATTAAATACCACAGATACATAATACAATTATTTTTACTTTCATTCGAGATGAGTTTAACATGCATTAATATCTTTATAAGTATTTTTCTAGTTAGAAATTAAAACTACATAATTTATTGATAATAACGTTCTAAAACAAAAAAAAAAGTTGAAAAATTGTATTTCTTTGGGCTATCGATGAAGCACACAGAGAGGAAAAATAAATACATTTTCACTCAGAAATCCCTACTAAAGCGCTCAATGGAATAACAAGTTAAAAGTTGAATTAAATGTGAAATTTAGAGGTATAAACTCAGAAAAGGTATTCTTACAATACCATTTAAAATAAAATCGGTCATCTTTTCACAAACTTGTGAAACTGTAAATTATAAGTAGTTCCTTGGCTGGGGATCATTGAAGATTAAAATGCTTTAATTAGTGAGGCTTTGGGGTGTCAGAGGAGGGTTACCTGGCGTATGGGCCTCTGTATCACTGGGTGTATCGCTGCCGGCCTGCTCTGCGTCTTTCGGCTTCGGATCGGACTCAGTCTTACTGTAGGAGAGGAAGAGCCGCCCGTTCTGCGCGTGGCTCGTATAGTGGCCGTAGGCGCCGACACTGCCGTTCTCCGGGCTCCAGGGCGGCGACTGCTGTGCGGTTTGCGCGGAGTAATAGGTCGCGGTGACCCCGCCGGAGTGAGTGTACGCAGCCTCGGCCCAGCTGAGATTCGGGTGGCCGTGCTCAGACACTTGCGGGTACACGAGCCCGTATGCATACGCATGATAAGACGGGTTGAAGTTGTAATTTACTGGCATCTTCCAATCCGCCATTCCGTCGTCAGATGAACTCAGAGCGGAAAGCAAATGTGCAGAGTTGGACCAATTAATGGCCTAATTGACTACAACGACC